CGAGCTCGCAGATGCAAGCTGCTAGCCCAACAAAATGTCGTGTGGTTCTCAATACGAAAAAAATGAATTGTTTCCCTTAATTACTTCTCTAGGATAATAAATTTTATTATATTCTCAGAAGTCCTCTTATTTACATATTATACTTATTATAATTGCTTCCTTAGTGATTGATCACAATAAACAAGAAAAGAAAAGGAAGATGAATATGTCAATAGACCACAGAACAACTTATATTTAGACACAACTAAAAAGAGCTGAGGAAACTCATGTAGGATCAGCCAGATACAAGGGGTGTGCATTGGTACAGCAGTCCTTTGAGTTCCACTCAAAAAGCAGTCTAAGATTGAACTTATGAACTTTGTTCATGATCACTCAAATAACACTGTAGATTAAACTTAGGCTAGCTGGCCATAGTGGTAATATCATGCAAGCCATTTGATAGCTCGTAGAACTAGAAAATTTAATGGCAAATGCATCTTGTGCACAAATTTGCATTGGGGTTCTATAAATAATTAAATGTTATGAGACTATGGTACTACTAGATGATATCGTGCATTATAGGGGTAGTATCATATGCATGATACTGGTGTAGGATACTTCTCACTATGACCAGCCTTATGGATGTTGACTCCCATTGAATAGATATAGGGTTTTCTTTGGAGGTTTTACCTAATATGTTACTAGTACATTTAGCGCATTCTATTAATTTAGTGTCTGTGAAGCAATTTTCTTGAAGAGTGAACGGATGGTCGCGGTCCTAATCTGTTCCCAAGAGAAAATGATAGACAGAATATGGACATTTCCTCACCGTTCCTCTGGCCTTCTCCAATGCGTCACTGGCCTCCTATCCAGCAGTACTGCCCTCCAAGATGGTAGAGTTCCTATACACTGGATCCGGTCGCCACCACGTACGGCTTCGTCTTGCCGCGTGCCCTTGTCCACCTCCACCACCACCCACGAAGCCTTCTTCCTCATCCATCGCGCAGCAATAGGTATCCAACTGCAGATGGTCACATACACCTGTGGCCGAGGAGACTATGCATGCATCCAGCATGCCAACATTTCTCCGCCAAGCTGCAACAACCTCCTCCATCAGCATGCGGCCTCCTCCTTCACCAAGTTGTGATTTTGACCTCCCTTTAGTTGTTCGATGAAATGATTATGTTTTTTTGCAATGTCGATGTTAGTTGTATTATTACTGCTCGTTAGTTTTATTAGTTAGTGTACTGTATATGGTTAGTATATAGAGATATTGTAGAAGCATGTTAGATAGAATTTGTGAAATGATAGTGTATATTCATAGTAAGTATTATGCCTGTGCCGGATGTTTAATGTGCTCAGTCTTATCATACCAGCTCTAGTTTCTTAATGTATTTTTACTGCAAAAGGTAATTGCAAGATGTTGTGGGAAAATGATGGGTTATGAAGGGACAATGGTTTTCATTGTTGTTGAAACACTGTTGTTTTCCATTCATCATCCACTAGTATGAAACAAAATTGATTCCTAGGATGAGACCTTGAAGGATGAGCTTGCATTTCGACTGTGCAAGTTCATTCTCCTCTTCTTATCGCATGTTGTTGTACATGAACTTTATAGCTGCTGGGAGCATTTTGCTCATCTTTATTGTTGTGGGAGCAGGTCTTTTTAGAAATGGAGGAGGACCCCCGGCCTCTGCATCTGGACGATGCATGCAGCCATTTTATTAATTGTTGTGGGAGAAGGTATTTTCTTGTTTTAATTTGTTGATTGAACAATTATGTGCTTGTGGGCCTGCATGTCAGGACGATGTTCTGTTAAACGTACACAATATGATTGCTGAAACAGTTACAAGAACTAAACACGCTAAACTGTTGCTTGTGCTGACCTTCTTAAGCTACCATCCACTAAATTTGAATATACAGACATTCCTTGAACATTTTTTTTTGAAACGAAGCAAAAGACTTGCCATTTTCATTGATTAAGAAGAAGAGAATTGCCTGGTTAATTGACGGGGAACCGGGCTAAAACCGATACAACACAACCCACATGACATGGGCACCACCGGCCAACCTGGCCACCGACATGGAATAGAAGCCACGACGGCACATGCCAACGGAAGGCCACACTCGCAAGCAACCGACAGCTCCGACATTGATGACAAGCAACACAAGGGAAATATGCAGGACTTGCGCCGACCGTGCCCCAAAGAGCACCTCGGACACGCCGGGAAGAACCGACTACCGAAGACCACGCCGCGACCCAAGCTCCTCTCGACGCCAACACCGTTGCCAAACAGAAACCAGCGCCCCGTCTCAGCAAACCACGCGGCGAAGATGCCGCCATTGACGGCGAAGATGCCATCATCCTCCAGTCTCTCAGTCGTCGCCGGCTCCGAGACGATGCCCCCAACGAGGAGAAAGACGCGAAGACGCCTCCATCGCCCGATCCAGCGGATCTGAGGTTTCCCTTCGGAGCCCAAGCCACGGGGAGAAGGGGCACCTCCACGATGACGCTTCCAAGAAAGATCGCGACCCCCGCAGGCGCCGCCGTCGCCGGCTCCGGTGAAGACCGGAGCAAGGATTTCTCCCGGAGATGTGCCGACCACCTGCCACCACCGACCGCCGCCCACAAACCGCCACCCCTACCGAGGCCGACCTCACTCTAGCCACGGGATCCCACGATCCACCGCGACCAGATTCGCACCACCTCCTGGCCGAAGCCGCCACCACCACACCCGGGGCCGCCGCCCCGGAGCCCAAGAGCCGCCACGTCATCGTCTTCACCATCTGCAGGAGCCCGGCCAGGCCCGACGGCAAGGAGCCCACATCGCAAAGCTGGAGGCAAGGGAGGGCCTGACCAGACTGCGACCTCGCCCCAAGCCTTGCCTCGGTGGGCCGGAGGACAGCCAAAGCCGCCGCCGGAAGGCTACAGCCGAGCCGCACCAGATCTGAATCGCCGGAAGCCGGAGTCGCACGAGCGAGATAGAGCCGCCACAGCCGCCTAGCCTCGACCCACCGTTGGACGTAGCGAGGCCGCCGCCGTAGCCGCGCCAACTCGCCGTGCCGCCCAGCCGTCGCGCCGCCAGAGGAGCAGCCGTCGCCATGGGACCCGCAGCCTCGACCGCCACCAACCCGAGCGGGGGAGCAGGCGCGCGCAGAGCACCGACCGCCGAGCCGCCGAGCCGCCCACGCCGCCACCACCGGGCCGCCGCCCCGGCGCCCAGCCTCGCCGATGCGCCGCGCCGTCCAGGGCCGGTCCC